TATATATTACTATCATACATATATATATATATATATCTATCTATACTATATTAAAAGCACGACGGCCCTTAGTGAAATGTTGTTCGCCTTTTTTACCCTTTATAATCTGACTTGACACTGGACAAAATAGATATTTAAATATTTTTTTAATATTTAGGATATTCTACGTAAGGAAAGATCTAATAACCAAAGTTAATTTTGTCCTAAATATTAGGAAAATAATTATTACCTTTACCTAATAACTAAAATTTTGAATTCAAGTTATTCAATTATGATTTTGTTCCTTTAAAACTTGAATTCAAGTACATATATTTTTATTCAGTAAAAAATGACAATCTGATAGAAAATTCGTCTGGGAGAAAGAAGCTACAATAAAAAAAGAGAACACTTCAAAAAGCTATGTTGTCTGATTCGAACATCTATTGAAGTCACAACTGTCCTATTTATTTTTATATTTATGTTACGTCAAATTATTTGGATGAACTTACGAAGATCATCAAGTACAAAAATCAACGAAAGCAAATTGCCATAGGGTTTTGTAAGTCACTATCTAATCCTTATACCTCTTCTGTATTTTAGATTATGGTGTTTTGAGTTGTTAGAAACTTTGGGATTTTATCGAAGTCAACACCGCAACACATAATTTTAATAAATTTTTATTTTTAATTTTATTTTATGTTCCTCACTCCTCATAATCTATGTTTTGCTGCTATATATATGTTTTTTTTCAATTTACAATATGAAATTTACCGGACTTTGTTTATTAAAACGGCTTAAAATTACATAGAATGACGGTAGCACATAATTGCCAGACATAGTTATCTGATATTTAGTCAATTTTATATACTCCTATTTGTTTAGTAGGACCATCACCTTTAAGCACAGTAAATTAAGTTAAATCTTAATTTCAAAAGTTTTTTCTACTTATATAAATATTTTTTCATTTCAGATGTCTTAGTACTTTATAAAGAATATTATAAACTCTACGGACAGAGCAACAAAAGTGTAATTTATTGAAAACCATGAGAGATTTTGTCCAAGTTGGAAAAATTATATGTAAAAAAGATTTTTTTAATTATTTGTTATATTTCTGATTGTGGAAAACAAATCATTTTCAAAGAATAAGGTGTTGTTTTAAAAAAAGAGGAACAAAAATAAAATAAAATTAAATTTTAGAAAAGAAACCTAGCAATCCAAAAAATTATTTATATAAATTTATTTGCAAGAAGTGGGGGACATATATTCTAATCGAGGGATGAACCAAAGATTCAAATTTTTACTATCGTTCTTTCTAACTCCTTACTGGTTAGTGCCTTTTCTTCTTACTGGTTAGCCGAGGGAATATCAGAAACATCATCTCTGCCCTTCCAGGTAGGAACTCTATTTGTGAGATTACACTGGACTATTGTTGTTGTTATATTTATGATAGGAGTAGTAATAATAATTATTATATTATCATTAGGATTAACTATAATAATAAAAGAAGTAATATTGTTTTTTTGTAATAGTAGTTGTTTCCTATTTGATCCTGCATTGATCACTTTGTGCCCATTCCCTAAGACCAAGTTTGATTTTCTCCTATATTCTTCACTTGAAGTATTTGGTTATATTTAATCCATTTGTTAATATTATCGAAGAACTCCACGTTCTTAGACTTATGTAAAACAATGTTAATCGAATTATTGATTTTAATTTTAAAGCAAAACTTACGGACTTAGTTAGGGCTATAGTTGGCTGCTTCAATTTTCACCTTATTCGGTAACGCTGAGTGTCTAGATATCATATTTACGAAAAGGGAAAAATCAAATATTGAGTTGCGTCAGTTTATATTTAGGATAAGGAAGAAAAACTATTCAAAAGGCAACTCATCTTTAAAGTTTTCTGCACACTTGACAAGTGCAGGGCCGAGGATAACGCATCGTTCACTAGCTAGGGACTTCACATGCCTCTCAATTCCAATCATTAAAAAAAATTATTTGGTTTGATAATTTTATTATCCTATTTTATTTTTGCTTGGTCATTAAAATTTGAGGTATTTTCTTAACAGACAGGTCAGCTCAGTCACTAATCTCCTGCTATGCGCAGGATCTGAAAAAGGACTGAATCATAAGGGTTTATTATACGCAATCGTACCCTGCATTTCTAAACGAAAATAAAAAAAAAAACTAAATTATGAACTTAAACTTTCATGTTTAAAAAAATACATCAACTTAAGCTTTTAGGTCAAATAAAGAAAATTATAATTTGGTATGACACCTGCATCTACCTGCAACCCTTTTTTCAATATAGTATGAGAATTTATTTACCCTTGAAAATATTGCCATTGAATAAGTATCGTGGCATTGTTACTATGACAGATCAAACAAGGTTTTGGATGTGCAAAATCTACTATAATTAGCACGGACTAGCCAATTTTTTGAGTTGTTAATAAAAAATAGCCAGTGTTTATAAAATCATTAAAAATAATCATTATTTTGTTTGAACACAGAAAATTTTAGCATAATATAATAGATTATAAAGCTCTTGCGTATAAACTTTCAACATATTATGTTGGAATTTCAATATGAAATTCCTGCATAATATACTGGATTATGAAGGTCATAATATACATTATATGCTTTACAAACTCGTCCACTATAAGGTGCAGGTGCAAATGCAGATAAAAATGTGTAATCTTGTTTAAATAGAAATACACTCAATCGCCCAAATCACAAAAAGAAAGAAAGGGAACAGTAACTTCTATATATGCCTTCATTTCCTATTTCCACGACCTCTACTTATATATATATATATATATGCCTTCTACTTTAACTACTAGAAGCTTCGTTCTTGTCGAATGTTCTTATTGTTTATTTAAATACGTGAATTGGACAATTCTTGGATTAGATGGGCTCAAATGATTTCAGCCGCGCAACAATTCAATACGTAAATTGAAAATAAATACTTCATTTCTTTCAATTTATATGATTTACTTTTATTTTTAGTCTGTTCAAAAAAGAATATGTAACGACCCGACTTGTCGTTTTGAAAATTAGCGTCACGTTCGACGGTTTAAGATCTCGAGCTACTTTGTAATGCGTATTATAATGTACGTATGCGGTCGAGTTTGATTTTCGGAAGATTCGGAATTAAATTGAAAGAACAATTCTTATTTTTGAAGCTAAAATGAAAAGAGTTGACTGGGGTTTGACTTTTGAGCAAACGACTCCGGAATGGAGTTTTGATGATGTCAATAGTTTCGTATGGTGATTTCGGATTTAGGCGTATGTCCGGATTTGGATTTGGAAGTCCGTAGGACAATTCGGCGCATTTTGGCAAAAATTGGAAAAAGTTGAAGTTTTAAGATATTCATAAATTCGACCGTGAGTCGATTGGTTGATATCGATGTCGGATTTTGATTCCGAAAATTGAAACAGTTCCATTATGTCATTTAAGACTCGTGTGCAAAATTTGAAGTTATTTCGGATTGATTTGATATGTTTCGGCGCAAAATATAGAAGTTGGAAGATTTGAAAACTCATAATTCGATTCGATGCGTGATTCATAATTTCGATGTTGTTTGACATGGTTTGAGGCCTCGACTAAGTTTGTATTGTATTTTTGGACGTGTTGGTATATTTGGTTAAGGTCCTGAGGGCCTCGGGTGGATTTCGGAAGGTTAAGGGATCAATTTTGGACTTGGAAGAATGCTGAAGAATTTCTAGTGTCCAACTCTGGTTTCCTTCTTCGCATTCGCGAAAGAGGTCTCGCGTTCGCGAAGGGTAACTGGGAGACAAGTGAGGTTTGTTCTCCGCGTTCGCGAAGATGGCCACGCGTTCACGAAGG